TACACACACAAGAAAATACAGTTTACAAGAAAAGAAAATATATCAAGGAATGAACTGAGTGAACACTTTAACTCTTAATTACAGCTTAAGCAACACTTACTGAACAAACAAAGAACAATTTACTTTAAAAGAAGACTTAAAAATTGCACTAAGAGTGAAATTGTTCAATGAAATATAAAAAAATAATAGGTGCAAAAACACAGAACAAAAGGTTTGAACACTTACAGTGATGCAGAACACAACACATCAATATAAACACAATACTATAATTTTCTTGCTATGAAACTTGATGTGTGAAAAATTTGGAAAAATAATTTTCTTGCTTGCACAAAATAATGGCACTATTGTCTGTGGAAATAAGACAAATTAGACACTGGCTAAATGAAAAGAATATGAACACAAGAATGTTCAACACACAGAGGAAAATAAAATAAAATGGCAAATGAATGAAAACAAAAACAACAAGAATACACAAATACTGGGAGGAAAATATAACAGACAACACTGAGCTGCGATGCAGAATACAAGGAAATAAATTGCTGAATTATTTTACTGCAATACTGTGAACACAAGGTGATTCTGAAGTGTAAATACAAGTTCTATACTGCTTATATGTTGCACACAACAAGGAAAAAACATTAAGGTACTTACTTCAAGTATATAAAAAAAAGAAGAACAACACAACATACATGAAATAATGCGCGAAAATTAACACTGAATTAAGAAGAGAAAAAAAATATTGCAAGCAATGTATAATAAACACTGAGTCTAATCAAGATTTACTGAATGTCACTAAGAAATCACTGGAAACACAAAAAGAAATGTCTCAACACTCGCAAATGTCTCTATGAAAAATATTATCGCTGTAGTGGCGTTGTTGACTGAAGTGGGGTGGAGGATGGTGTTGGAGGATGCTTGCTATTGTCTCATGGCTGGCTGCGATCGCTGACTTCTCTCCACACTCGATGAATTTGAGCTTAAATCGACGATGGACCCACACAGGAGGCTTCTAACGATGGCGCCACTGACGAAAGAACACACCCTAGCTCTTGACCCCCTATGTGGTCCTTAAAATATGGTGCTAGAACCCGTAGTAAGGGTACAAAACAGTGGTAGTGGGTGGGTGGCTGAGGCAGCTGAGGCAGCGGTGGCGAGACCGCGTGGTGACTGGGCCTATGGGATGAATGGCGTAAGCCTCACTGGGGACACCCTCACTTAGGCGCGAAAACACTCTAAGCCGGGCTGGCTTAAAATAAACCCACGAAATGCCACAACGCCACAGGGATGAAAAAGCATTCAGAATGGCTTGGAGCTTGAAGCACAAAGCGATGAGGAAGACTGTACCCACGTGACTTGCTTGAGTACTGGGTTAAGACACCTGGGTTAGTTGCTGGCTTGCTTAGCTTAACCCTTCACACAGAATAGCTTGATAACTTCTAAAGATGAGCACAGCAGGGGTGGAAAGCTGGCTTGGCAGGCAAAACTGGATGGTGTAAGGCTAGGCTGGCTGACTCCCCCACCACAGACTGTCGTGCTGGTTTGGCTTACTTTGCAAACTCGGGTCAACCCCTCGGGAGTGATGCAAATAAGTAGATAAACACTAATACAAGGAGACTGACCAGTGAATAATGTAGAGAGCTGGTAGACGCTTGGTCGGGTAGCTGGCTGGCTAGGTCGAACGTTAACCTTCTCGGCAAGCCTAGCATCAGAAGATGGCGACTGGCTTAGTAGAAATTTATCTCCAGAAATCGCTGTAATCGTCAGAATTACAGGCCCTCCGCTGGCACCAATTTGTCGTGGGGGTTCGGGGAGATAAGATGGTTGTAGGTAAACATGCTTGTGGATGGTAACACTATATTGTCAGACTGTGATGGGAGTCCAGGCCTGCCTGCTTGCCTTCGTATGTCTAAACGCGGAGTGAGAACGAGGCAGCGCGTCTCACTCACTCATGCTGTATCCCGTGATGTCATACAGTCACTCGGCCTAATAGGGATCTTCTATATAAACACATGGATGGTACTATGATACTCAGCTAATCTATACAACACTTATAAGGGGATCAGCAACTATGCTGACACACACCATACACCGCACACCATACACCATACACTGTACACTGTACACCATATATTGTACACCGTACACCATACACTGCACACCATGCACTGCACACAGTACACTGCACACTGTACACCATACACTTTACACTGTACACCGTACACTACACCGTACACTGTACACCGTACACTACACCGTACACTGTACACCGTACACTGTACACCGTACAACTATAGATATCAGCTCTTTCTTTATGTCTTTTATTTTAAGAAAAAATAACGTAAAATATCCTGATATTTTTAATTCACTATTTCATTACTAACTATGGTTCTCATAATAATGAAAACTTATTTAATATAATCATGATTTACTTGGCCTTAACTTTCTTATTTAATGATGTTATGGAAATAAGTCAGGTAATGTTGTCGATGGTTGTGGTAGTTACTACACTCATGTTGGTTCCTCGGGGAAACTGGGCGATAGTGATAAAAAAAATATATCAAAGAGATCATGAGAAGCTCAACGCAGAAATATTTATGCAACAAAAGCATACATCATACTGTATGGTGATTGCGATAAATTCCCTGTGTAGTCCATCGCAACCTTCCTTTTTACGTCATGGACTTGGGAAGAGCACAGTTGTTACACCACCATAACGATAGGACCAGACACAGCATTTTGGAAGCAACAGTGATCCACCTCACCAAAACCACTGAATTAAACAGTGAAGTGTACTGTTAGCTGGACCCACTGCGTACATTGTCTCTGATTCATAACAGTTAATGTGCCACCTTACCCTCGCTCCATGTTCTTACCCATACCTGACCTCACCAGACTTGATTTCGTATCTTATGACCTCATTTATTACCTGCTCTTGAAATTTAATGACTTAAAAAGTGACATGTCTTTCGCCGATTCTGACCTCAGGTGTTCGTTTGACTGATAAGTCGGTGTATTTTTTCCTGGGTACTTACTTCATAGAGGCCATTCTTTAACGAAACGTTTTATTAAAATTATTCTTTACTACCAGTGTCTTTATTTTTCTAACAGAGAAACGGGAGCGAAGGGTTACAGTTTAATATGACTTGCTAAACATGAGTTAGTAGGGTTATTGAAGCTTATGCCTTGAATAACTTTCCTAATGTCTTGGTCCAATATTTGAGAGAGATGCTGGTTTTGAGAGACATCTGGAAAGTATGGGTAACTAAGGTAATATAATGGAAGACTGTAATAACAATGTAAATTAGACACAATACAGATCATGAGATAGTAGTGCAGAGACGTTTATTACATCAATGACTTTTTCAGGACATGGGTATTTATTAGGGTTAAAGACGTCATGAAGTCACTTGTGAGTAGCCAGCCGAGTGTGTGGTAGTTGATGAGGAATTAGACACATGAAGGTATAAAATACCAACTAATAAATGAATTCCGGTTAGGTGATCGCAAAATTAGGTATTGGGAGAATTAGACAGTACTAATGATGTTGTCAGAATTACCGAAAATTTGTTAGGAAAAAAGACACGTGTTTAATGAGACATTCTTCTGTAGTAAAGTTTCGCTCTCCAGAAGTTTTGTCAGGCTTAACACATATGTTCTTTTAAAAATCTAACATTTAATCAGTAGGCCTTTGAAGTGTTCTTCCTTTCGAAAGTTCTCATATGAACATGTACTGGCGGAGATTTACGCCTAAGAATGTAGTGAATAACTGATGACTTTCGTAAGAGGAGGGGCTTTAGGAGCTGACGTAAATTCTGGAAACTCCATGTTTTTTTGTTTTTTTTATTCGCCGGTACTCTTCCGGGCGTGATGACGTAATGATAGTGGTGGAGAGCCGCCTGTAGGCTCAGGTGTAGCAGGTTTCTAAGCTTTAAGAAATTATTTCAGACAAATACCATGTAGTTAAAAATCTTAGGACGATAATAAACAAATTAGGTCGGTAACAAACAAGTTAAGATGGTAATAAATAAGTTAGGTCGGAAATAAACAAGTTAAGATGGTAATAAATAAGTTAGGTCGGTAATAAACAAGTTAAGATGGTAATAAATAAGTTAGGTCGGTAATAAACAAGTTAGGGTAGTAATAAACACGTTAGGACGGCAATAAACAAGTTAGGACGGTAATAAACAAGTTAAGATGGCATTAATCAAGTCAGGACGGTAATAAACAAGTTAGGACGGTAATGAACAAGTTAGAACAGTAATAAACAAGTTAGGACGGTATTAAACAAGTTAGGACGGTAATAAACAAACCATACAGCATGTAAATCAGGTGTTAATATGATAATGTAATACAATACCAACAAATTAAGTAAGACACGTCTGCAGCAGTTAGATATCTTTATACCAAAACGTTTTGCATACACAGTAAGCTTCTTCAGTTGAATACAGAGGAGGCAGCAGAAGCAGTACAGATGTAAATACGATCTAATCAGTCCATCACCCTCGAAGATATAGTTTTGAGGTGATCATTCCCGTAGGCTGTAGAAAAGTGAGCTGAAGCAACAGAATGGAGACTTGTATATTCTCAAGATGCGGCGGAGAAAATCTTGACAACAGAAGATGCCGAGCCAACTACTAGAGGCAAGAACTTATGGAGACATGAGAGAAGAAACTTTTATTGTATCGACAAGTGGTATAAACTTTGATTTTTTTTTAGAAACACTGAAAAGCCCATTCATTTCGAATGTATAAATATAGAATTCCATTTTCAGTAACTCTCGGCATTTAAATTAATTTTGGAAGTATACAGTTTATAATTTTGGGGGGAGTATATGAATTTGGGAAGTCGAGAAATGGATTTGTGATGCTTATAGGATACTCATTCATTTTGGAAGTGATGGTAAATGTATATGGAGTATTTCGTACAAACTTTCATTAAATAGTGGATACCCTTTATTGTCTTGTAGCAATTTAGATTATGAAGTGAAGCTCACTCCCTAGGAAAGCTGCATGATGACTCGTACAGAGCCTCCGCTGCCCCGGTGGCAAGCTCTGGGTCTGCCCTTCACTCTACAGACATGGTTGGCTCTCCTGGTGGGCCTCCTCCTCTGTGGTCCCGTACTCAGCCTCCTCGCTATTGTTGCTAATACCAGGTTAGTGGCACTTTACACTTTCCAGGGTCACTATCTCTTTGTATAACAGTTTTTTAGAGAGGCTTTGCGAACTTGGCTTATCCAAATATCTTACTGCTATCATTAGCGAAGAAAAAAAACATGTTATAAAGATAGTTTTCACTGGGACAATGTTTGGCTTTGTTTAAACTTTATAAAGATATTGGTACAACTTGATAAAACGTAACGATGCTGCAGTAAAAACTTGTTTTAAACGCACATATTTTCTTATTTTTCTTTATTCCATTAGTTAAGCGTATATTTATTTTTGTTATAAGAATTCTGAAATCACACTGAATATTAGAAATATCTTAATTCGCATACTATTTTAATTTAGACTGACTCTAGACATGACTAAGCTATTGTATGAAAATTCACATAGATACATTTATTTCCCAAAGAATTTGAAAAAAATCGTCTTGTTTAATTACTTTGGCTTTAAGCACGACAGTCCTCAGAAGAGAATGTGATGCTAGCGAAGGGCTCTTCTTCCAAGGAATTGTTTTCGTCCTTATTTTCCTTAGATCGAATTTGACTGCCTCCCATTTCACAGGCACTATATGACCCTAACTGACTTTTTAAGCTTCCCCAAATATAATATATATATAAAGCTTGACACATATTTTTCTCGTCAGTTTTAGTTTGACAGTATCACATGAGACAGCAACGATTCGAAATGTTGTTTTAATAAAGGTTTTCTCTCTTTCATATGTCTGTCACATATTTATTTGTTGGCTCGTTGCTTGCTGTACCTGATTTTACTTTTCATTCCATCTACTTCGTTTTTTTTATGCTCCTAGTTAAGTAGCCTAATAGAGGAACCTTAAATGGTTGCCTGAATTTGTTTCCTTCCTCCAGCTTTTCAATTTTATTTAACTCATGACTCGAGAATGCCTTATCCAATCGGATTCAATTTTCGAACGGGTGTTTACGGTAAAGTGACACAGAGTCTAGGAACAGTTGTTATATACTCTACCTCTTGTGATCAAAGTTACTGATTCTGTCCCCATGATCTTTGAATGGCTAGAATAACTTTCAGAACTTCAAACAAAAATGATGACTCGTAATCTGACGACGAAGGAGACTGAAATTCAAGTGTGCCGAGGCAGATTTGATTGAACTTTTAATGTTAAAACTTTTATGAAATTTTGAATTCCCTTTAAATATCCCGAATAAAATATGTACGTCTCCCTCATCAAACGGCCTCGATATTTAATGTCTGATGTGTCAGTTTGTGCTTGGGCAAATTTGTCAAAGGAATGAATTCTTTTTTTCTTTTGGGGAAAAAAATAAAATTTTTTAGAGATTCGTAGAGATCTTTTTAATAAATTCAAATGACAAAAAAAGGAAAATTGAAAATATTGAAAACTCTCATTTTTATAGTGATAATAAATTTTCAGTATGATGTGATGCCAGAGTCATTCTTCTCGTAGCTGATGCTTCCTCGTACTAAGTTTTTTTTTATCTAGACGAAATTACATACGTAGAGCATTTTATGTGCAGTTGCACTGTGTTCATTCTCAGAGACCATTCTCATAGAGACTATTCTCATAGAGACCATTCTCATAGAGACCATTCTCATAGAGACCATTCTCATAGAGACCATTTTCATAGAGACCATTCTCATAGAGACCATTCTCATTAACACCATTCTCATAGACACCATTCTCATAGAGACCATTCTCATAGAGAACATTCTCATAGAGACCATACTCATAGAGACCATTCTCATAGACACAATTCTCATAGAGACCATACTCATAGAGACCATTCTCATAGAGACCATTCTCATAGAGACCATTCTCATAGAGAACATTCCCATAAAGACCATTCTCATAGAGACAATTCTCATAGAGACCATTCTCAGAGACCATTCTCATAGAGACCATTCTCATAAAGACCATTCCCACAGAAAGCATTCTCATACAGACCATTCTCACAGAGACAATTTCGTTAAGACCATTCTCATAGAGACCATTCTCGTACAGACCATTCTCATAGAGACCGTTTTCTCAAAGACCATTCTCATTAAGACCATTCTCATAGAGACCATTCTCAAAGAGACCATTCTCATAGAGACCATTCTCATAGAGACCATTCTCATAGAGACCATTCTCGTAGAGACCATTTTCATAGAGACCATTTTCTCAGAGACCATTCTCATTAAGACCATTCTCATAGAGACAATTCCCATAGAGACCATTCTCAGAGAGACCATTCACAGAGAGACCATTCTCAGAGAGACCATTCTCAGAGAGACCATTCCCAGAGAGATCATTCTCAGAGAGACTATTCTCAGAAAGACCATTCTCATAGAGACCATTCCCATAGACACCATACCTATAGAGACCATTCTCATACAGATCATTCTCATAGAGACCATTCTCATAGAGACCATTCTCACAGAGACCATTCTCATAGAGATCATTCTCACAGAGAAAATTTCGTTAAGACCATACTCATAGAGACCATTCTCGTAGAGACCATTCTCGAAGTGACCATTTTCTAAGAGACCATTCTCATAGAGACCATTCTCACAGAGACCATTTTCATAGAGACCATTCTCATAGAGACCATTCCAATAGAGTCCATTCTCACAGAGACCATTTTCATAGAGACCATTCTCATAGAGACCATTTTCATAGAGACCATTCTCATAGAGACCATTCTCACACAGACCACTTCGTTAAGACCATTCTCATAGAGAGACCATTCTCGTAGAGACCATTCTCATAGATACCATTTTCTAAGAGACCATTCTCACAGAGACCATTTCGTTAAGACCATTCTCATAGAGACCATTCTCGTAGAGACCATTCTCGAAGTGACCATTTTCAAAGAGACCATTCTCATAGAGACCATTCTCGTAGAGACCATTCTCATTGAGACCATTTTCTCAGAGACCACTCTCATTAAGACCATTCTCATAGAAACCATTCTCATAGAGACCATTCTCATAGAGACCATTCTTATAGAGACCATTCTCATAGAGACCATTCTCAGAGAGACCATTCTCATAGAAATCATTCTCATGGAGACCTTTCTCATAGAGACCATTGTCACAAAGTCCATTCTCATAGAGACCACTCTCATAGAGACCATTCTCATAGAGACCATTCTCATAGAGGCCATTCTCATAGAGACCATTCTCAGAGAGACCATTCTCAAAGAGACCATTCTCAGAGAGACCATTCTCATAGAGACCATTCTCATACACACTATTCCCATAGAGACCATTCTCATAGAGATCGTTCTCATAGAGACCATTTTCATCGAGACTATTCTCACAGGGACCATTCTCATAGAGACCATTCTCATAGAGGCCATTCTCATTGAAACCATTCTCATAGAGACCATTCTCATAGAGACGATTCTCACAGAGACCATTCTCATAGAGACCATTCTCATAGAGATCATTCTCACATACAAAATTTCGTTAAGACCATTCGCATAGAGACCATTCTCGTAGATACCATTCTCGTAGAGACCATTCTCATAGAGACCATTCTCTAAGAGACCATTCTCATTGAGAGCATTCTCACAGAGACCATTTTCATAGAGACTATTCTCATAAAGACCATTGCAATAGAGACCATTCTCAGAGACCATTTTCAAAGAGATTATTCTCATGGAGACCATTATCATAGAGACCATTTCGTTAAGACCATTCGAATAAAGACCATTCTCGTAGAGACCATTCTCATAGACACCATTTTCTCAGAGACCATTCTCATGGAGACCATTCTCATAGAGACCATTCTCACAGAGACCATTCTCATAGATACCATTCTCATGGAGACCATTTTCAAAGAGATCATTCTCACAGAGACCATTCTCACAGAGACCATTCTCACAGAGACCATTCTCATAGGTACCATTCTCATAGAGACCATTCTCATAAAGACCATTCTCATAGAGACTATTCTCATAGAGACCATTCTCATTGAGACCATTCTCATTGAGACCATTCTCATAGAGACCATTCTCATAGAGTCCATTCTCAGAGACCATTCTCACAGAGACCATTCTCATAAAGACCATTCTCACAGAGACCATTCTCACAGACCTTTCTCATAGAGACCATTCTCATCGAGACCATTCTCATAGAGACCATTCTCATAGAGACCATTCCCATGGACACCATTCTCATAGAGACCATTCTCATTGAGACCATTCTCATAGAGACCATTCTCAGAGAGACCATTCTCATAGAGACCATTCTCATAGAGACCATTCTCATTAAGACCATTCTCATAGAGACCATTCTCATAGAGACCATTCTTACAGAGACCATTCTCTTAAAGACCATTCTCACAGAGACCATTCTCACAGACCTTTCTTATAGAGACCATTCTCATCGAGACCATTCTCACAGAGACCATTCTCATGGAGACCATTCTCATGGAGACCATTCTCATAGAGACCATTCTCACAGAGATCATTCTCATAGAGATCATTCTCATAGAGATCATTCTCACAGAGACCATTTTGTTAAGACCATTCTCGTAGAGGCCATTCTCGCAGAGACCATTTTCATAGATACCATTCTTATAGAGATCATTCTCATAGAGACCATTCTCATAGAGACCATTCTCATAGAGACCATTCTCATAGAGACCATTTTCAGAGACAATTCTCGTAGAGACCATTCTCATAGAGATCATTCTCATAGAGACCATTTTCATAGAGACCATTTTCATGGATAATATTCTCATTGAGGCCATTTTCATAGAGACCATTCTCATAGAGGCCTTTCTCATAGAGACCATTTTCATAGAGACCATTCGCCAAACTGATTTCCAGGAAATTGCTTTGAAAAGCAGTCTCCTTGAAATCAGATCGTTTTTTAAGTGGTTATAGATTCACACATGTATATGGAGACCTGACAGTGGTAGCGGTGGTGGGCAGGATAGTAGTGACAGTTTTTGTGTAGTGATGGTGATGCACGTAGTGATATTAATAATAATAATAATAATTATCTC